CCAGCAGTCGGTGCCTGGCCATTTACTTCCTTTTAAACTGGAACATATTACCGGTTTAATTTATTTGCCCCCTTTAAAAACATAACTGGGAAAGTCTGGAAATCCGATGAGCGCACCCCTGGGCAAAGAGCTCGAAAGCCAAAGTATGCGTAAAATGGGCACGACCGGGCACTGCAACGCAGCAACAACCAGCTCCCTCCTCATATCGACAGTTTCTGGGCGTTGTTTCAAACCAAACAAGGCCGTATGCGTATGATGCCTCATTGTAAAGTACGTGAAATGCAGGGCTTCGGCGCCCTTTCCCTCTTCCCCTCCCCCCTTTTTTTTTATGCGTTTTTTGCAGCTATGCAATGCAGAAAACGCATACTGACGAGGGGTTGTCTGTGTGTGCATTTGTCACGCACTTTCATCTCAAGACCTATAAAAGCTGCGGAGCTGAAATTTCGGGAACTTAATCTACATGCACGTGCCGGCCCCAATCCCCAAAATGGGCGCCAACACTCACATGGTACCTGCGTATGGGCCCGCCAAAATTTTTTTCGGGTAAGTTCATAACTCGGGGACCTGAGAAGCTAGAAGTCTGGGATTTTGAAGGGATATTTCCTGACAGTCCTGGCGGCCAGCCTGAAATTCTTTTAGTTAGAAGCATCTACCAGAAAAACCAGTGCCGCTAGCGACAAAAATCTGCGAGGAGCTGTGCAAAAAACGCATCTTCGCACGGGCAGCCCGTGCGTTGGCCAATTATTCTAAATTATAAAGCACGCTCACCAGCGGTCCTTTTTGCCAGCCTTCTTTTTCGTCGCCATTTCACTTACAGAGCGCAATCAACGATGAAACGTCTGAAAGTAAACGACCAATTCAATCACCACGCATGCATATGCGCAACCGTTGCATGGGAGATTCGCTCCAGGACGCAAGTGCATGTTGAAACTCGTCAAACGCATCCAGCAAAACCGTAGGAACGCGAAATGACCCTGGACAAAAACCCTCCACAGAGTGCACGGATTCACGTCATAAAGTTAGCAGCAGGGCATAAATGGTAAACAACGGAGAACTGCAATATGCAAAAATCAATAGTTCATCACATCGCAGTAGGCCCACATCCCATACAGGATGCTCATATCCCGTACAAAATCACAGCACAACGATTCGGGCCCTGAAACTGCTAGTCGATAAGCCAGCTTACCGTAGCCCAGCAGTGGCAACGTTCCAGACAAGGCAACGATGCTCAACACCCAGCAGCAAGCACACCGCATAATGGCTGAAGCCTCGCCAAATCCTCGTAGGTCTGGGGGAACTGCCGCTGTCCTGTGGGAGACGAAACCAAAGCCAGGATTGTCAACAGATCGCAACTACCTCGACACGTTCACTCTCGAGTTCGGGTTCGAGCTGCGGAAATCGTATTATCTGGTTTTCTTGCGCAGGTGATATCCCGCAGGTCGTATTTAAGACTGCTGACTTCCTCCACTCAGTGTTAACTTCCACGCAGGGTATAAAAAGCCCCCACCCTCACAAGCCCTGTCCCTGCTTCCAATTCCTGCCTCCAAAGACGACCACAGCTCCTTTTCAGTCAATAACCCTGCCCTCGCCCCTACCCCGAGTGCTGGACCATCACCCCAGCCAGCCCCCACTTCCTTCTCACTCTCCCCACCACCCATCTACTCTCGTGTCGCCCTCCATCCATTGCAACTCGCCTTCTAACCTCGCCGAACTGGACCAAATTTTAGCAGGTCCCTAGCGACCCGACTATCAGACAATTCAGGGCAATTACAATAACTCGCTCGGCTCGTCTCATACACAGGCCGCAAAAAATTTTTCCTGCTGACGGCAGGTAGGATTGGTCCAGGGCGGATGGCGGCAGTTTGAATGTG